AGCACCTCCAGTGTGTACATGTTTACATTATGATGATATTAAAGTATATTACGGTAAATTAAAGTACCTCCAGTGTTTACATTATGATGATATTAAAGTATATTACGGTATATTAAAGTACCTCCAGTGTGTACGTGTTTACATTATGATGATATTAAAGTACCTCCAGTGTTTACATTATGATGATATTAAAGTATATTACGGTAAATTAAAGTACCTCCAGTGTGTACGTGTTTACGTTATGATGATATTAAAGTATATTACGGTAAATTAAAGCACCTCCAGTGTGTACGTGTTTACATTATGATGATATTAAAGTATATTACAGTAAATTAAAGTACCTCCAGTGTTTACATTATGATGATATTAAAGTATATTACGGTATATTAAAGTACCTCCAGTGTTTACATTATGATGATATTAAAGTATATTACAGTAAATTAAAGTACCTCCAGTGTGTATGTGTTTACATTATGATGATATTAAAGTATATTACGGTAAATTAAAGTACCTCCAGTGTGTACGTGTTTACGTTATGATGATATTAAAGTACATTACGGTAAATTAAAGTACCTCCAGTGTGTACGTGTTTACGTTATGATGATATTAAAGTACATTACGGTAAATTAAAGTACCTCCAGTGTGTACCTGTTTACATTATGATGATATTAAAGTATATTACGGTAAATTAAAGTACCTCCAGTGTGTATGTGTTTACATTATGATGATATTAAAGTACATTACGGTAAATTAAAGTACCTCCAGTGTGTACGTGTTTACATTATGATGATATTAAAGTACATTACGGTAAATTAAAGTACCTCCAGTGTGTATGTGTTCCATATGGCCGTGAAGTTCTCCATAGCTTCAGCCGCAGTCTGCTCGTCCATGTTCAGTTCCTGACACAGAGTCTCTAAACTCCTCCGGACCGAGCTCTCCTCCATCCTCCCGGACTCAGAATCCGACGACTCTTCGCCCCTCATCGGTAATCCTCCCGGTACCGGCCTGGTTTCAAATCCCCCCACCGGTTAAAAAAATCCTAAAAACAAAAAACACGACGCCCCCGTGACCGCATCCAAACAACACCACCAGCTTCCCACGACCTAAGCACTTCCGCCCAACTAGCCCACAATGCAGCGCGTTGGCGCGAAAACTGCAGGGCAGCGACCAATCAGAAGTGAGTCGAAGCGTCGGTCCCAAGCGCTGTTCTCCCAACCCCCTTCTCCCCTTGCGCTCGTGCTACTTCCCTCCAGCCTGCCAACCGTTACTTAGCAACCGGTTTGTAGTTAAGTTACTACGCCTACTAAAGACGAACCGTTATCTTTTTAACCCAAATAAAGCACAAAATTCATAAAAGTAAGCACAATCATACACATTTATTTATCTTAAAGACACCCAGATAAGCTTCATCACACCTGACAATTAAAGATTCAGAGTCAAATTAAAAACAGAAAAATAAACCGCTAATTAGTTGAGTACGTCTCTCCGCGAGTGGGCGTGGCTTCGGCGCATCCATGGACACGCCCACATCATCCCAGAGGAGAGAGAACAGCTACATTTATCATGATTTTGAAGCTTAATTTTATAAACTTATAAAAGTTTTTTTTTTTATTGCTGAAATTTGGCCTGGTGGTGAATAACACATTCTTCTTTTGTATAAAAAACTAAAAAACTTTTTTCTTTTTTTTTGGTTTATAGGGACTTTAAGCAAATCAAAAACTATTAGGCCTACAGTTAGCGCTCTTGTGTTGTGTAAAGTAGCCTTGTCAAGATCTCATGCAAACAAGCGACATTTATGGAAAAAAACTGCAGTGTTATTCTGTGATAATGACTTAAATTAATCTGATCTCAGACAGACACTCGTTAATTCCCATGATACTCGCTATCATTATTAAGTGAGTTAAATAAAATGTATGGCTACATGTCACCTTAGGGCTGCTATAATTCTGATTGTGATGTTTAAACATTAGACTGTGAAAACGTTTTCAATGCTTCTTTTACTATTAGAGTGGAATTGTAGAGTAGCTTTAGTCGTTTTCTCCAGATCTAGAGAAATTAAGTTGTTATCACGGTAAAACCATCACTGTTATCTAAAGATAACGAGATAAATAAGTTGAGATCTCAAAATTGAAGGGTTATCAGGGGAAAAACTAGTGAAATACAATGTATGGAAGTATGTCTCTTAAGAGCTTCCATATATTGAACTCTGTGTGTTATGGACTGTAATCCCTGTTGCAAAGAGAGCCGATTGTTTAATTGAAAAATTAGTAAAGCTCTGTTTCTGAGTGTAGTGCACTGAGTAAACTCAACCACCAGAGGGAAGTGTTCACCAATGACTGTAACAAACACCGTTAACCCAGAGACAGTCTGTGTTAGTCCAAACTTTCTCCTGAGCACTTGGAGCTTGTGTAGCCTACTGTTCTCATATAAACCAGAAAGAAGCAGCAGGAAGAAATGATAGATTATGTCGCTGGGAGAGGTAGAGTCACTCGGCCCCCTCACACTCCCCCCTTCCCGTGTAGTTGGTTGGGACAGCAGCAGGGGGAAGGACCCCGATCACTAAATTTAAGATTGACATGAATTGGTACTTTTCTTGTTTCCCTTGTAAAATATACGCTTTGTATTTGTATAAGTATGTTTTGATAAACTTTGGACTATGTGGATGAATATGTTATGTTTGCATGTTCTAGTTTTCATTTTAGGCTGTGACCCGATGTAGTTTTTATAGTGATGGTTGGTCATGTGACCGTTGGTATTTACCTGTGGACGCCCTGTGATCGTGCTGGGCGAACCTGAGGAAGCTACAGGCGGAACACGATTTTCAGTCACAATAACACACAGTAAAGTTATTTTCAGTGTGCCGGAGATTTTTATTTTATTTTTCATTAATAATGTATAGTGTGATGAAGGCATAAAACCAGGAGTGGCATGTTTAGTAACAGCATTGAAACATTCAAACCTGTAAATAAATATCTCTGATTAAACGTTCTCATGAATCATCTTTATCTCTAAACTAATTACATCTTTAAATCAATGAACAGAGGTAGAAAAAAAACACTCCACAGCTTTGTTGTTCTTTTTAAATTTATTCAAAGCAGAAGCCGTAACATAACACACAAAATGAAACCCGGAGACAACGTGTCGATTAAAGATAGTTGACCCTACCATACATTGCACAGCGTTGGATTCAACATGCAGTGTTAATGAAACACACCTCGAGCAGAAAAAACCCAAATCATTTTCCAAACATGATTTCATTTATGCTTTATTATCTTTACACAGATTAAAGGCAGGGTTGGTAATTTAAAAAACAAGCATTTTGAAAGTAGCATTCCCTCTGTGCCCTGTCTGCACCCCCTCCCCCTTGTGCTCCCTCTAAAGCCACACCCCCTCCCCCTGTGCTCCCTCTAAAGCCACACCCCCTTCCCCTCTGTGCTCCCTCATAAGTAAACTGTAAACTCACAGAATAAACTCCTGAAGTCATCGGTGACATGCTTTGAGTGTGGGCTATAGCACGCAATAGGTAGAAAGCGATCAGGGAGACAGGGAGGCGTCTGATTGGTTCATCAGATTGGCACCTTGGTTGAAGCTTTTACAGGCTTACAACTGCTACAGATGACGGATTTTCTTTGTTCCTTTTTCAGAGAACATGAGTTATTAACTTCTGTCAGGACCTAAAGACATTTCAACCAGAATTTGAAAAAAGTGGATCTGGAGGAAATTACCAACCCTGACTTTAAGAGAGTTAACTAAATAATCTAGCCTCTAATTTAAAATCGAATTCAGTGTTTGTTAGAAAGACCGGAGCGTTGAAGATTTAAGGACAGAAAAAATAAAATCTCAATAAAAGAGCAACATATGTAAAGACATTCCCAGAAATAGTTCCTCCATATTGAAGTTTCTCTATGATTATAATTCATGTTTTTAATATTTCTACAGTTAGACAATACAGATCACTAAATGTCCCCGCCCCCCCTCACACATGGAGACACCTTAAAGTCAGTGAATCTGTGTTTCTATGTGAGGCGTTCATGTTTATATTTACGAGTATTTTAATCCTTTATGAGAGTTTGAATAGCATGCTGATAAAAAATTCAATCTGTGACGTTAGATAAAGAAATGCAGGAAACTAAAGAGGAGTACTAAAGGTAGAAAATGTGATCTTTAGATAACTGTATGTATGAAGCAGCATGCATGCTGTGTGATGGTCTCAGTGAGAGCTGTATCTGCTGACGTCTCGGGTCTCTGTTGTCTTGATCAGCAGTTTGGGAGCTGGAGAGCTGCTGTTGCTGTGGTAACCGTTGGAACTCTTTGTACCTGCACACGGAGAGAGAGAAGGAGAGACTGAGGGAACAAACCTGAACCCTGGGCAGCTGGGGCACACATCAGGGGGGATAAAGGGGAACGCTTTCTGGGGCCCCGTCGCATGAGCAAACAATGATGACCACATTTTATTTTACACCTAAATACTCACCATGACCTCTTAAAGCAACAGGAACACATTTTATTTGTTGTTGCTTCAGTAAATTTCGCCTGTTTCAACATGTAAATCTCCTCTTCTTAAAATGACATAAGACTGTTTAAGAACAGAATGTAGCAAATTTGCCAAGTGTGAGTGTATCTACAGCCTCCTGCCTGTAGCTGTGAGCTCCACCTTTTTGAGTTTGATACTCACTGTAGTTGGAGACGGCCTGGATGTTGAGGATGGACTGATGCCCAATTCTGCAGAAGAAGAAGGGACAGGGTTTTAAGTTTGTTATATTATTAATCACTCAGACCTCCTCCTCCTCTTCCTCTTCCTCTTCCTCCTCCTCCTCCTCCTCCCCCTCTTCTTCCTCCTCCTCTTCCTCCTCCTCTTCCTCCTCCTCTTCCTCCCTCTTTTCCTCCTCCTCCTCCTCCTCCTCTCACCTGTCCTCCTCCCCCTCCAGCAGCTTCCTGTAGGTGGCGATCTCAATATCCAGAGCCAGTTTCAGGTTCATCAAGTCCTGCAGGTGAAGTAAGAATTTTAGATCAATTGGCTTAAATTAACTGACTGGTACTCTCTGACTGTCTCACCTGGTACTCTCTGAGCTGTCTCACCTAGTACTCTCTGACTGTCTCACCTGGTACTCTCTGACTGTCTCACCTGGTACTCTCTGACTGTCTCACCTGGTACTCTCTGACTGTCTCACCTGGTACTCTCTGACTGTCTCACTTGGTACTCTCTGACTGTCTCACTTGGTACTCTCTGACTGTCTCACCTGGTACTCTCTGACTGTCTCACCTGGTACTCTCTGACTGTCTCACCTGGTACTCTCTGACTGTCTCACTTGGTACTCTCTGACTGTCTCACTTGGTACTCTCTCACTGTCTCACTTGGTACTCTCTGACTGTCTCACCTGGTACTCTCTGACTGTCTCACCTGGTACTCTCTGACTGTCTCACTTGGTACTCTCTGACTGTCTCACTTGGTACTCTCTCACTGTCTCACTTGGTACTCTCTGACTGTCTCACCTGGTACTCTCTGACTGTCTCACCTGGTACTCTCTGACTGTCTCACTTGGTACTCTCTGACTGTCTCACCTGGTACTCTCTGACTGTCTCACCTGGTACTCTCTCACTGTCTCACCTGGTACTCTCTGACTGTCTCACCTGGTACTCTCTTAGCTGTCTCACCTGGTACTCTCTGACTGTCTCACCTGGTACTCACTGATTGTGTCACCTGGTACTCTCTGAGCTGTCTCACCTGGTACTCTCTTAGCTGTCTCACCTGGTACTCTCTGACTGTCTCACTTGGTACTCTCTGACTGTCTCACCTGGTACTCTCTGACTGTCTCACCTTGTACTCTCTGACTGTCTCACCTGGTACTCTCTGACTGTCTCACCTGGTACTCTCTGACTGTCTCACCTGGTACTCTCTGACTGTCTCACCTGGTACTCTCTGACTGTGTCACCTGGTACTCTTTGACTGTCTCACCTTGTACTCTTTGACTGTCTCACCTGGTACTCTCTGACTGTCTCACTTGGTACTCTCTGACTGTCTCACTTGGTACTCCCTGACTGTGTCACCTGGTACTCCCTGGCTGTCTCACCTGGTACTCTTTGACTGTCTCACCTGGTACTCCCTGACTGTGTCACCTGGTACTCCCTGGCTGTCTCACCTGGTACTCTCTGAGCTGCCGGGCCATGTCCTGTTTGGCTCTCTGCAGGGCGTCCTCCAGGTCTCTGGTCCGTGCTTTGGCTTCTTTCACAGCGAGCTCTCCACGCTCCTCAGCCTCAGCCAGCTGGTTCTCCAGACCGCCACGCTGAGGGTGGGCAGAGACAGAGACACAACCCGCTCAAGAACTATATCAGAAGAATCAATGAAACATTCTGCTTTTTTTTTCCAGTTTCTGCACCTGAGCTTTGACGGCCTCGATCTCGCTCTGCAGTCGACTGATCAGCCTGTTGACCTCTGCGACCTCTCCCTTCACGTTGCGGAGCTCGTCTCCAAACCGACTCGCCTGATCAGACATCTGGTCGAACTGCAGAGGGAGCAGAGAGAGAGAGGTCAATGTTAGCGTGATCATTGCTTCCTAAAGAGATAGGAGCCAGCGAGTATGATTCTAGTGAAAAGTATTCAACACTTTTTGACAATCTTAACTTGAACACTGAGTCTTTGCAAACTAGCTATTTGTTTGGACCAGAGAAGGTAGGCGGTTTTAAGGCACCCCCACACGGCCGTTTTGGAGGGGGGACAGCTCTCTACAATGTTTAGAATTTAGACTGCTGTTCCACTTTTTGTTCTCCTGGCCGTTTTGGACGACCCTCGGTTTGCCAGATATGAGACCAGTTATCAGGTCAAACCAACAGGTGTTGCAGCGATGGATGCGGGCAAGAGAACTGGTGGAACTTGTTTGTTTCAGTGAACATGATGGGCTGATTTTAATCTCTACAGGATGTCGTTGCTTCTTCTTTTCCAGGTAAAGTCCGGTTCTTACTTTGCTCTTGTACCAGGCCTCAGCGTCCTCTCGGCTGTGGGCTGCGATCTCTTCGTACTGAGCTTTGACCTCGGCCACGATTTTCTCCATGTTCAGGCTGCGGCTGTTGTCCATCTGTACCACCACGGACGTGTCTTTGATGCTCGCCTGCAACTCACGCAGCTCCTGCAGCAGGTGACGGGGGAAAAAAACGGTTAATTACAGAATATATAAGTCTTGGAAGTTTACTCTGCAATGAGTCTTTAAGGACTAGTTCCTGGATACCACAAAGTCTGCAAATACAGGAAAACAGGAGGAGGAAGAACATCAAAATGTTCACAGCATGAAAAAGGTTGGATACCTCCTCATAGATGTTGCGCAGGAAGTTGATCTCATCAGTAAGAGATCCGACCTTATCCTCCAGATCGGCCTTCACCAGGTAGGCTGAGTCTACATCCTGGAAACACAGAGGATCAAACACCATACCCAGACATGATCGAAAGCTCTGTGAGGCTGCTACATGCTAATGCTAATGGAAACTGTCTTTAGTTGCTGTTCAGCAGCAGGAAGTTGCCGATGCATTTATGGTCTTTGGTTTACGTGGGAATCTAGAGAAATGAGACAACCTGGACAATAGAAAAGGACAATAAAGCGCTTCATCTTACTAACCACACCTGTACGTATGAATGTGTGTGTATGTGTGTGTGTGTGTGTGTGTGTGTGTGTGTGTGCTGACCTTCTTTAGGATAACAAAGTCGTTCTCCAGGTTGTTTCTCTTGTTGATCTCGTCCTCGTATCTGTGACAGAGAACAAACATGTGTCATCTTTCTGCAGATATTCCTGAACTAACTTCAGAGACTTCATGATCGACCACAGAAAGATTATTCACTTGTGCTTGTAGTCCTCCACCAGGCCCTGCATGTTCCTCAGCTCTCCGTCCAGTTTGATCTTGTCGTTGTTGACCAGGTCCATCTGACGCCGCAGACCCGCCATGTAGGCCTCGAACAGGGGCTCCACGTTGGAGCGGCCCACCCCCTGACCCTGCAGCAGCTCGTATTTGGTCTCCAGCATCTTATTTTGCTGCTCCAGGAAACGCACCTGAACAACAAGGAGAAGTAGAAGGAACACATTACTGCTAAAGGAGGACATATCGGAGTATCTGATCCAGATTAAGCAGAACAAGTTTCTCATAATCAGGGTGTTTAAATGAAGTTGTCTCATAAAGAATCCTTCTTTATCCCTCTGTTACATTCAGGAACCTTAATTTTGAGACACCTCCACATTTAATGACACTCCAGAGGAGGACAGAGATTGTTTTGGCTATTAAACGTCTTCCTTTAATGCTGATTTATTCTGCCCCATTTCCCTCTATTGATCAGCCGTCCCCGGGTTTAGGTAGGGTTCGGTTTTAACCAGGGAGCAACCTTTGATGTTGAAAAATGAAGCCGATGCTGAAATGTAAAATCCTGCAGTTCCTTGAGTGTCCACTAGAGGCTGGCTGTTTTGGATGTTTTGATGACTCATCTGTTTTGATTTGATGAAGGATAAGAGATATTCACAATAAGGCGCCTAGCTGACCTGATTGACAGGCGGGAGCGGTGTAACGGTTTGTCAGGAGTCTTAAAACCCGCCTCAGCTCCAGCTCTCAGCGTGTCGTTAGGTTGACTGAAAGTTAGACTGAGACAGCATTTCCAGCATGGAGACCGCCATCGATGGGACTCCAGCGCCCCCTGCAGGAGCAGACGGGGGACGTCACTCAGGCTTTGTCCTTTAATACTTACAGGCTGTGGTTTCCAAATTACGACTCGGCAACACATCCAAATTGTTTAAAAAGTCCAACCAGGGAAGTTGGAGCATCTTTACATTTTCTCAGCGAGTCCGTTTTGGACTCTCTTTCCTACCCCCCATGGAAGGCAAAGCTGAGTCCCCTGATGAACAAAAGGACCCTTCAGTCACCAATGAAACCCAAGCTGAGCGGTCTCTAACTCACTGAAACTTTAAAGAGCTGCTCCCCTCATGCAGAGAGGTAATCAGCCTAATGCACCGAGGACACAACGCTTACTTTCAGGATCACGATGACCTAAAGAGGGCTCGATAACTCCAGACCACAGAGCGATGGGAGAGTGTTTATTTGTTCTCATTGCTGCAGGAACGATCCCTGAGGAGTTCATTAAAGGACAGAGATTTAAAGAGACAAAGAGTCGGTGAATCTCTGGGGATTCAAACGTCCATTTATACCTGGATTCCGTGGTTTTGGATCGCTGATATTTAAACTCTCTGTCCCATTTCGGGCCGCTGGGTTTGGTTGTAACCTGATAAAGCGGGTCAGATGCGACGTGCTCATGTGAGTCTCATTCAGCTCCCAACAGAAGACAGGCTTTGTGTTTGGAAGAGGATGTCTGAAAGGTGAAGGATAGATTCACCTGCTGCAGGCGGGTAACTTGAGCCCAGCAGATAATCAGGTGGTGACTTTCACATCCAGAATACGATAACTGGAGCCTCTAAATATCCACACAGGGACATCGACGCTTACTTTATAACAAACCAAGACGACAACAAAGAAAATAAACAGAAAGTTTTATCGACATTCCAGCTGACAGACGACCGACTCTAAAAACTGAAGTACAGCTGCTCCAGGGGTTTTATCCCCAGACTGCAGCAAAATGTCCGCTGTGGGCATGACTCTTAACAACAAGCTGCTCCCACTGCTTCGGCGGCAGCGTGTGAATGTGTATGAATGGATGAGTTAATACTGACAGAGTCTTGAATGAGGAGGATTAGTCTGCTGACGTCTTTGAGTTTATAAAATGTTTGATGGTCTGGACGGATGCCCATCATACCTTCAGGTAGCCCAAAGTGAGGACTTCTAACGGCTGCTTTTATCAAACCAGTCAATTAGTGATTGTGACTTTGTCTCTGCAGCTGTCTCACCTTTACATCCAAACCTTTCAGATTAAGAACCCTTCAGTGTGTAAGGCATCACATTAACCCTCGGCAGGAAGTGGTAACCACCAGCTTCCAAATATTCTCATTATTATCAAATCTTTGACAAACAGACCTGAATGTGTCTGTGAACGTCTAAAGTGACTCTGAGACTCCAACAAAGCCTCTTTTGTCAGAGCGCGTTACGGACGCCGTGAGAAAGCAGGATGTGCCCTAAGTACGGTATCAGTGTCGGACATTATGAGAGCTGCTCTCTTTATTCCTGTGGAAGAAGAAGGAGACATTTTAACCCTGTACTCCCAGCCCATTGTACGTACTGAAGATTAAAGAATATAAACTCCATGTTGTATTTCAGAGTCATCATGTCCTCGTAAAGGTCTTCATTAAATCATATTCACTCCTTAAAGACGCTTCAAGAACCTCCTGAATTCAGACTTTCAAAAGATCTTCATCATGATGAAGTTATTTCAGCATCCTTCCAGCCGTTTGTTGTCATTAAATCTCAGTAAAACATGTTTACTCTGGTTTATAGAGCTACAGATTTCATGAACGTTTGACCTGTAACGACTAACTTCCACCGTCTTCCCTAATCTGTCAGTCCTCTGCAGCAGATACACAAGGCTTCTGTTTCTGCAGGATGACGGAGCACGGAGTATCAATTTACCACAGAGCAGATCGAGAGGGAAGTCAGACACCGAAACATCAAAACATCCGGTTTATTTTCAGAATAAAAGACTCCGTATTAATGGATCAGAAGTGAAGGAAGTGAAGATAAACCTGCAGGAAGTGAAGATAAACCTGCAGGATGTGAAGATAAACATGCAGGAAGTGAAGATAAACCTGCAGGAAGTGAAGTTAAACCTGCAGGAAGTGAAGATAAACCTGCAGGAAGTGAAGATAAACCTGCAGGAAGTGAAGATAAATCTGCAGGAAGTGAAGATTAACCTGCAGGAAGTGAAGCTGCAGGAAGTGACATTAAACCTGCAGGAAGTGAAGATAAACATGCAGGAAGTGAAGATAAACCTGCAGGAAGTGAAGATAAACCTGCAGGAAGTGAAGTTAAACCTGCAGGAAGTGAAGATAAATCTGCAGGAAGTGAAGATTAACCTGCAGGAAGTGAAGATAAATCTGCAGGAAGTGAAGATAAACCTGCAGGAAGTGAAGATAAACCTGCAGGAAGTGAAGATAAACATGCAGGAAGTGAAGATAAACCTGCAGGAAGTGAAGATAAACCTGCAGGAAGTGAAGATAAACCTGCAGGAAGTGAAGATAAATCTGCAGGAAGTGAAGATAACCTGCAGGAAGTGAAGCTGCAGGAAGTGACATTAAACCTGCAGGAAGTGAAGATAAACTGCAGGAAGTGAAGATAAACCTGCAGGAAGTGAAGATAAACCTGCAGGAAGTGAAGTTAAACCTGCAGGAAGTGAAGATAAACCTGTAGGAAGTGAGATAAACCTGCAGGAAGTGAAGATAAACCTGCAGGAAGTGAAGCTGCAGGAAGTGAAGATAAACCTGCAGGAAGTGAAGATAAACCTGCTGGAAGTGAAGCTGCAGGAAGTGAAGATAAACCTGCAGGAAGTGAAGATAAACCTGCAGGAAGTGAAGATAAACCTGCAGGAAGTGAAGCTGCAGGAAGTGAAGATAAACCTGCAGGAAGTGAAGTTAAACCTGCAGGAAGTGAAGATAAACCTGCAGGAAGTGAAGATAAACATGCAGGAAGTGAAGATAAACCTGCAGGAAGTGAAGCTGCAGGAAGTGAATTAAACCTGCAGGAAGTGAAGATAAACCTGCAGGAGTGAAGATAAACCTGCAGGAAGTGAAGACAAACTGCAGGAAGTGAAGATAAACCTGCAGGAAGTGAAGATAAACTTGCAGGAAGTGAAGATAAACCTGTAGGATGTGATGATAAACCTGCAGGAAGTGAAGATAAACCTGCAGGAAGTGAAGCTGCAGGAAGTGAAGATAAACCTGCAGGAAGTGAAGATAAACCTGCAGGAAGTGAAGCTGCAGGAAGTGAAGATAAACCTGCAGGAACTGAAAATAAACCTGCAGTAAACCTGCAGGAAGTGAAGTTAAACTCTTTACTGCAGCTTTAGAGATTTATCCACACTGATCATCGGCCTGTCACTTCCAGCTGCTTACCTTGTCTATGAAGGTGGCAAAGCGGTTGTTGAGGCTCTTGATCTGCTCCTTCTCGTGGGCTCGGCTCATCGACAGGTTGGGGTCGATCTCCAGGTTGAGGGGGGCCAGCAGGCTCTTGTTAACGGACAGGGACGCCAGCGGGGAGGCCAGCCCGTGGTGATGCCCATTGGTACTGGCATACAAAGAGCTGCTGCTTAGAGAGATCCCGCTGAAACCCCCCTGAACCGGACCGAACCCGCTCAGCCTCCTGGAGCCGCTGCTGCTGCGCACAGAGCTACTGGAGCTGATCCTCTTGGTGCGACTCAGACTCATGATGGAGGAGGAGAAAAAGAGGGCAGGTGGATAAACAGGCTGTGCTGAGCAGAGAGCAACAGAGTCAGTAAGAGAGGAGTGAAACAAGTGAGCTCAGTGAGGTGTCTCTCCATCTTTATATACCCCCCCCCCCCCCCCCCGTCTGATGTCAGGTGGGGAGGAGCACAGGAGAGCTGTGTCAGGTATCCAAAGGTTTGGTTTGGAATGAAACAGGTTACCTGAACACACAGGTGCTGGAGGTCAGAAATATGAGATGTAGAATCAAAGAATGAACAAAAAAACTTGACTTCAACGGAAGAATTCACCTTGGAAAATTCTCTGGAAACAAAATGTTCTTAATCTTTAAGAGATTTTTTAAATATGTAATCTTGAGTTCCTGACACACATTTTACAGACGTAACGATACCTCACAATAAAATGAAAAACCTACAGAAAGATGAAAAATAGAAATCCATGCTACAGAAATATTGCGGCGCTCTTTCTTTTTTTTTATGACTTTCCATTTTTATTTTGCAAAAAAAAAAAAAAACAGCGATATCATATGGTATACATCTGTTTGTTACAAATACCCTCTACCCCACCCCCACGCACCCACGCACAAAACCCTAACCAAGAGGGGTCATCTGCCTGCTAATCACATCAAGATACACGCCCCACTTCAGAAGATATTTTTCTGTTCTGTCCTGCATCCTATATGACATTCTTCCGTATGCAGCTACTGTGCCCAGTTCAGTCAACCAGTTCAGAAAAATGAGGTTCTCCCGATGTCTTCCAATTCCTGAGGATAATCTGTTGTCCAGTCATAATAGCAGTCTGTATCCATTGGATCAGTTTTTGAAAAAGCAGATAATACCGTACAGTCTCTTTTTATGTATTTTCATGAATTCATTCATCATGTGGCCATATCTTTAAATTGTGTCAACCATCTAAGAGTAATTCTTCTTTTAGGTTTGTGAAGCTGTAATATGTATGTGTAAGAGACCTCATAGCAGCAGAGTTTATTTGTTTGGAGCCAAGTGTCTGTTGTGAGCTGAAAAGGAAATGTGACTCTGAGACTGAAGAAATGTATATGTCTGATATTTACGAGTCAAGTGATGTCTTCTTTCTAGCCTTTTAGAGATGAACCGAAGCAGCCAGGAATTGTGGGCTCTACCTTCTAGCAGAATTTAAGCAACGCTGTGAAGATGAAGACTTGGCCAATGATTGTCAGCGATTGTGAGATCCTGGTCAGCATGGTTCAGCTATGGTCTGCACTTTGTCAGCCATGTGTGTTGTGTTTCTATGTTGTCTGACCATGGCTGAATAAATCCTAAGATGATCCACAGTC